GGCATCGCCCGGCGGCTGTCCGTCCCTCGCTGAACACACCGGACAACCCAAACCGCTCCCTGGGCTAAAAAAAAAACAGAGGGAGAGAGGAAAAAAAGGTCGAAGGGAAACGTGAGCTCTCGGGAATCGCCACTTTCTCCTCTCCAGGGCTGGATGGAGGCTACCAAAAATACGGGGAGGCGCAGAAGGACACGATTTACGGCTCAAAGCAATCCTGCCAGAGCTCAGCGCCTGGCCATTGCCCCTCCACCTTCGTCCCGGAGCGCCCCGCTTTGTCACCCCATGGGGCAATGAGCTCCCCAGCTACACACGCACCAGGAGAAGAAGCGTAAGCCCGAGTAAGGCAGAAGGCGAAGGGAGCTGCGCTCTTGCCGTGTGAAGCTCTTCCTAAAGGAGATCCTGCCTTGCAAGTCATTTGGGGAATATGCAAGCGCTCACCCTTTTCTTTTAGCCCAGAGGCTTCCCAGAGTGTTTTGGTTTTTTTTTCCGGACGGGGAGCCCAGCTGGAAGAAATCCTCGTGTTCCAGTAACCGGCGGATTTTTTAAAAGCATTCGTTTTGCAGCCGCCGCTCAGCCCCTCACATGTGTTACAGCAGGTTTCGAGAGCCCTTGGCATAAAAAGGAAACAGCTCGTGCAGTTTCAACACGTTTTATTATATTTCTGTATGCATTACTCTCAAAACATATCACAAGAAATGATGAAACCACTTAAACCTTCAAATAAAAAATCTGAAACAGTTTATGCTCACAATTGTACATATTTATAGTTAAGAAACATTCTTTATAAATACTGTTTCCTCTGTAGCAAGTTAATACCATAATTTAATTACAAATGGATAAATATGGTAACAGGTATTTACAGGAGGAAGGGTGTTATTACGGAAAAGCTAACGGCACGACGTTTATTTTTCCTCACAATCTTCCGAACAGGAACTAACAAATTGAACTTGCAAAAGCACTAAAACATCACATGTAAACCCAGCTAACAGAAAAAATACATTCACAAGCGTTGTTGTTCATGTGTGTGTCTGTGAGTAACAGAATGGAGACTTTGGCACGGTTTTTCTTCCCCAGTCTATAGTTGAAATGCAGTTTACAATCAAGTTGCCTCTTAAAAAGGAACACAATATTCAAGATATCACAATTACAAAAGAAACCATTTTTTCTTCCACGTTACTTTTTTTAAAGGGGTGAACTAAAAAAGGAGGAGAGAGGGAGGCGGGGAGAGGGAGCGGGAGAAAAGAAAACAAGTCCATCACTTTCTCGGGGAGGGAGGGAGAGGAAAAAAAAGAAAGGGGGGGGGGGAGAAGAAGAAGAAGGGGACCAATCCGCGGTTTATAAACGGGACGAACTTCTATACACCAAGAATCCAGGAAAACTTCGTTCCCCACCTCGCCGGAGGAAGGAGAGGGCCGCTATGTACAGAGTTCGTGGGGCGGGAGGGCGCTGGCTGCTCCGGGCGGGGAGGCGCAGGGGCCGGAGGACTTGGAGTCTCTGATCTTTTGTCTGGAGGCTCCGGAGGGAGAGTTTCTTTCCGCCGGCTTGAGAAGCTTTTTGCTGGGTGGTGTGTTGGTGGCGTTTGGGGTTTTTTTTCCCCTCTCTCTCTCCCCTTTCCGTTCCTCTGTTTATTTACTCATTCTCTTACGTTTTTCAGCACGTACTTTTATAGATTTTTTTTTTTTCTGGTTCAAAATGTTCTCAAAAAGAAAAAAAGAAAAAATCCAACGAAAGGAGACCCGAAGGCGGGAGGGGTGTGGGGAGATAAAGGCTCCCCCGTCCCCATCCTGCTCGGCCGTCATTTCGCTGCCAGCGGGTGCGG